GACAGAAATGGGCTTGGAAAATGGGTTATCCACCACCAACCCCACTTCTCCAGGGTGTTTTACTGAGTAAAGCCATGAGGGGAGGCAGGTTCAAGGTGGAAAGCAGCTATGTTCACCACTATACCACCAAAGCACATTCAAGGTGGACAGATCTCTACTCAATCAAAAAGATTACAAGTATAGTTGCTTAGGTGATATTAATGCAATAGGAAATCACAGGGTGGGTAGCGGGTGGGACAAGACTATGGTGAACCAATAAGGTTTGTTTTTGTTGTTTTGTTTTGTTTAGATAATGTTTCACTAGGTAGCCCAGGCTGCCCTCAAACTCACAGCAATCCTCCTGCCTCAGCCTCCCAAGTGCTGGGATTATAGGTTTTTGCCACCACAACCAGCTAAAAAGAGCGTATTTTTTGACCCTCTGTGTAACAACCACCCCAAAACAGGTCCAAGTAGTGAATAATAAAGCTCATTCATTGTTTTGTTTTTTGCTACAGGGATTGAACCCAGGACCTTGACACTAAGCTACACCCCTAGCCCTTTTTTAGTTTTGAGACAGGATCTTGCCAAGTCTCTGAGTTGCCCAGCAAGGGGCTGAACTTGCAGTCCGTGCCTCAGCCTCCGCCTGGAGTGCTGGGACAGCAGAAGTGAGTCACGGCGCCCTTCCTGGAGATCACCTCCCCGGTGGGGTGAGGAGCACAAACCTGTGTTGTTGTAGTTAATCTGCGCCCAGCACGATTCCCGCTCTCTGCGGAGAGAGGGCAGAAGAGAGGTTGCCCACGAGCAGGATCAAGGCGCTGGGCCACCCTGGCCCCAAATCAGACCCGTGTACCCTCCCCCGAAGGTGCCTGATGTGCTGAGCTCCGCATCAGGCGGCAGCCCCTCAGCTGTCAGAATCCAGGCCACCATGGTGCAGGTTGGGCACAGCACAGCCCCGGGAGGCCGGCAGAAATCCACCCCGACATCTCGAGTGCCTGCGATGACTTCCTGACAGCTCGAGGCAAGGGGACGCGGGGAGGCCGAGTCACCCGCTGCGAAGGGAAAGCGACTCCCGCACAGCGCCGGGTACACAGTGGGCGCTTAATAAATGGCAGCTGGCCCTGTTCTCCAGTCGTCCACCAGGGGGCGATACCCTGCCAAGAAGCGCCCTCCGTCCCCAAGCCACCCTTGGAGCGTCCCAGGGGCTCACCTCTTCTTCTGTAAATTTTTGACTTTAACTGGAACAGGAAACAAAGAAGCATCGGTGAGATTTTGGTTTTGTGTGCATCTGACAAGTTTCTGCACCCACGAGATGAAAAGCCCTCTGTGTGCCTCTGCCCGCAACACGAGAGCTACTGTAAACAAATGACTTTGCTTCTTTTTCCTCTTTCGTCTCACTAGGTCCCACCAGGCTCACCCCAGAGTCACAGTCCTCTTGCCTCAGCCTCCTGAGTACCTGGGATTACAGGGATTCATTACTGCGCCTGGCGCTGAGGGTTTTCATTAATTTATTTATTTGTTTGTTTGTTTGATTGATTGAGACGGGATCTTGCTACATAGTCCAGACTGGCCCTGAACTCAGCAATCCTCCTGCCTCAGCCTCCCAAGTGCTGAGATTACAGGCATGTGCCACCTCACCTGGCATCATTTTTCCCCCCAGCTATATTGATTAAAAACTTTCATCAAGATGTATGTGTAGGGCTGGGGATTTAGCTCAGTGGCACAGCGCCTTCCGGGCAAGCACAATGTCCTGAGTTTGATTCCTGGTACTGAAAAAAAGAAAAAGAAAAAAAAAAGAAAACTAAACTGGTTTTGGGGGCTGGGGGTTTAGCTCAGCGGCACAGCACCTGCCTGGCAAAGCAAGGCTGTGAGTTCTATTCCCGGTACTGGAAAAAAAACAAAAAGAAAAAAGAAAAAAAAAAAAGATATATGTGTAGAAAAGTATTTTTCGGCCGGGCATGGTGGTGTACACCTGTAATCCTAGCGCTCAGGTGGCTGGGGCAGGAGGATAGTTGCAAGTTTAAGGCTAGCCTGGGCTACAAAGTGAGCT